TCATGGCGTTGGTGAACCAAGCATGGTACCATAATAAATATATCACCATCAACTACGAATCAACTGCAGAAAAAATAAATGATACAAGATTTAATGTGGTTCGATCGCTGACTGTAACCTACGTTCACACAGGGCAACTAGGAGGATTTTGTTACTTTGTACACTGATTACAAGCACATTAACATCTCTTAAAAAGAGATTAATTAAGAGAGCACAATGATTAGGGAAGTTTGAAGCTTCCAGGTAGTTTCTTGCCAATTTCTTGTTGGCTGCCACCAAGTTTCCTGACTTCACACTCAACAAACTCCCACTTGAATTCATAAAACAATGTTCACCTGCACTTCAATTGTGTACATGTGCTTCTGTAATCTGTCAACAGAACTGATGTTCCACCACTTCTAGTTACCATCAGCCTTCTTGATCATCTAGAAGACTTTGTTGAAACTCTTTTGAATTTCAACCTAGTATTCATGGGAAGATATGCCCCTGACTCATTCTTGGTTCCCATCGGCTCCCACTGCACACGCGCACTGCTAGATCCTGGAAAATCTTGAGAACAAGCATTCTTCATACTTAGCAAGAAAATTTCAGGAGATGTTTTAAAAGCTAGAATACTAGTTCTCCGGACCTATTGTCTTCTAGAAACCTTGGCTGAAGCACCACTTGTACTCCGACTGCCACAGATATCTCTAACTGGTTTCCTTGAACCTTTCCTCGCTCGTTAATCCTGAGGCTGAACTGTGGCTCTGGGTTTTTCTCTTGCATAGAAAACCTTCTTCTGCCCACGAGACTATGTGAACCAGACTTTGTTTCTCTTGTGAACTGTGATGGTCACTCTCTCAGACGGTAACCCGACTATGTACAGCGAACCACTCTTCATCAGGTCTAATATGAACTATTCATCCTAAAACTGCGAGTTCTTGATTCTCAATTTTCATGTATGGTGGAACCGTTATCGGTATCGCTAAGGGATTCTAGACAATTTCGGTTCAAGTTCAAGAAAGCTTTTAACCTTTTTGGGAAAAACTATATATACTCCCTTTGTCCTAAAATAATCTCTTGATTGAGTTCGGAACACATTTGAAAAGAAAAATTATTCGATTGGAAGTGATGAATATGGTGAGCCACATAAAAATTTTTGATAATAGAAATATTTGTCTACTTTTTGGATGTCTCGGATAATAAAAATTAATGCAGTGAATGTGAGGCACTACAGTACGGGCACGACAGTACAGTACAATTTCTTTCTAGACTATCTCCCGTTTCCAATCATCTTCTCCGGCGATAACTTCTCGTCATTCTCGTTCGCCGGTGCAACGCTCTACCGCTCTAGACTCTGCACACTGCGGTTTTATCCTAGACGAGATTGCCCACGTTTGCCAGTGCGGGAGGCGAGCAATACTACTTTAAGGAAAGCTCCGGCGACTCCGCTTTCCTTACCTCTGTTTGAGAAACTACTCCGGCGACACCCTACCATCCGACGTATCTGCTCAATGATCAAAGAACGTATCGCCCAATCCGTTTGTGTTCCTGTTTCAGTTTCATTCCGACGAGCTTCCCGAAGACTCTAATTTTCTTTGGTTTATTTCCGTTGTAAAATCCAAACATTTTATAAGTTCGGATTTATTTTATTTTATTTCCGCTATAATATTTTTAACATAAATATTTAAAAAAGGGAAGGGAACTAATTAACAAGTATTCTAAATAAAAGTTGATTCATCATCATTCATACATACCCCAGCTAGAACCTGGGAAAAAATCATGTCACCATTCTTTTTCAAACCCATATTTTTTCCACATCAATATGTTATCTCTTTCTCAGAGTTCTGTATGAATTGAATTGCTTGTGGTATTTCTTTCGTCTCATGTTATGTGGAAATAGTTGTCATAATCGGGATTTTTATCAAATTTCCTATGAAGTCCGATATAACCTTTTCCTATATAATATGAAAGAAAAAGTTGAGGGACATTAAATCAATAAATAAATTGGTCATTGAGAAGATCTGAGAAGTATATGTGTCCGAAATAACCCCACCTATGCATAAAAATTACAACGACGACATTATTTATTTATGGTAAGTATTATCGTGAGTGAATGTCTGAGAAAGAAATTGTACCGTACTGTCGTGCCCATACGGGTATCCGAAGATGAAACCTATTGCTCGTTGACGTCGAACATGCATTATTATTATTAATTACAATAATAAAGATAACCATACAAATTCGGCAGAAACTTTCTCCAATTTTGGACACTATAAAAAAACCGCTTAACACATAATTTCATCGATCCACAACATTTAATTTGGGACGGAGTTTTCTTCAAACTCGGCTTAAATATCGGTGGAAAGGCCACTCAAAATTTTTTTTGGGGAGAGGTCAAATACCAGTCGTATCAGGTCACGTTCGAAGTGGTGTCCCTTTCGGCACAGGGTCCGGGAAAAAAACAAGCAAAGTATAGTACTCCTTCATTTCACAAAACATTACTCATTTTAAATAATATTTGGTCAAAAAATTATACATTTTGAATACAAATTGTGAAAAAAGTATATTTAATTATAATATAAATTGTTGGAATTTTTTTAGATAAATTGGACATTTCCGGACAAAAATTCGGTGGGATCCACAAAATTTTTCATGAAATAATTATGGACGTTTAATCTCGTAAGTAAGATAAATGTTTCGAAAAATTACACGCCACAAATGGTGCTTGGGTGAATGAGAAATTAATTCTCAAAGTTGAATATGAGGGAAGAGTAAAACCCTAGTCCGACTTCGATTTTTTGAACCTTTCGTATTCTCATATTTAAACTTGAAAATTTAATTGAGTTTATGAAAAGAACAAGAAAGGACTCTTCTTGTGCCGCTACCGTCGCCATCCGTCTAGCTCGGCACGGCACGGCACGGTACGACACGGCACATCACGAAACGCACGCGCGTGTCGCGCCGGGGCGAGGCGTGGCGCGCGCCGCGCCTGTGCCCGTGTCCATGCCCCGCATCTGCATTTCGTTAATAACGAAGTGACATGAGTTAAGCATGCATGCACATGGAGGCGCCTGTGACGCCTCGTAACATATCGCCCAATCCGTTAGTGTTCCTATTTCAGTTTCATTCCGACGTCCTTTCCGAAGACTCTAATTTTTCCTTGTTTTATTTCCGGTGTAAAATCCGAACGTTTTATAAGTTTGGATTAATTTTATTTTATTTTATTCCATATTTCCCTCTGTAATATTTTTAACATAAATATTTAAAAAAAGGGAAGGGAACTAATTAACAAGTATTCTAAATAAAAGATGATTCATCATCATTCATACATACCCCAGCTAGAACCTAAGCAAAAATCATGTCACCATTATTCTTCAAGCCCATGTTTTTTCCACGTAAATTTTTTATCTCTTTCTTAGAGTTCTGTATGAACTGAATTGTTTCTCTTGTGGTATTCCTTTCGTCCCATATTATGTAGAAGTAGTTGTCATAGACGGGATTTTTATCAATCTTATGAATTCTGATACAACCTTTACCTATATAATATAAGAGAAAAGTTGAGGGACATTAAATCAATAAATAAATTAGTCGTTGAGAAGATCTGAAAGGTACATGTGTCCGAAATCGACCAATAATAATGTCACATCCACGCTCCTAGCTAGCTTCGTGTTAAAATAACCCCACCTATGCATAAAAATTACAACAACGATATTATTTATTTATGTTAAGTGTTATCGTGAGTGAATGTCTGAGAAAGAAATTGTACCGTACTGTCGTGCCCATACGGGTATCCGAAGATGAAACCTATTGCTCGTTGACGTCGAACCTGCATTATTATTATTAATTACAATAATAAAGATAACATACAAATTCAGTAGAAACTTTCTCCAATTTTGGACACTATAAAAAACCGCTTAACACATAATTTCATCGATCCACAACATTTAATTTGGAACGGAGTTTTCTTCAAACTCGACTTAAATATCGGTTGAAAGGCCACTCAAAAAATTTTTTGGGGAGAGGTCAAATACCAGTCGTATTAGGTCACGTTTGAAGTGTCGTCCCTTTCGGCACAGAGTCCTAGAAAAAAACGTGCAAAGTATAATACTCCATTTCACAAAACATTACTCATTTTAAATAATATTTGGTCAAAAAATTATACATTTTGAATACAAATTGTGAAAAAGTATATTGAATTATAATATAAATTGTTGGAATTTTTTTAGATAAATTGGACATTTTCAGACAAAAATTCAGTGGGGTCCACAAAATTATTTTCTGAAATAATTATGGACGTTTAATCTCGTAAGTGAGATAAATGTTTCGACAAATTACACGCCACAAATGGTGCTTGGGTGAATGAGAAATTAATTCTCGAAGTTGAATATGATGGAAGAGTAAAACCCTAGTCTCACACCGGTTTTTTGAACCTTTCGTATTCTCATATTTAAACTTGAACATTTAATTGAGTTTATGAATGGAACAAGAAAGGACTCCATGTACAGCGAACCAGACTTTGTTTCTCTTCTGAACTGTGATGGTCACTCTCTCAGACGGTAACCCGACCATGTACAGCTAACCACTCTTCTCCAGGTCTAATATGAACTATTCATTCTAAAACTGCGAGTTCTTGATTCTCAATTTTCATGTATGGTGGAACCGTTATCGGTATCGTTAAGGGGTTTCGGACAATTTTGGTTCAAGTTCAAGAAAGCTTTTAACCTTTTTGGGAAAAACTAATACTCCCTTTGTCCCAAAATAATCTCTTGATTGAGTTCGGAACACATTTGAAAAGAAAAATTATTCGATTGAGAGTGATGAATATGGTGAGCCACATAAAAATTTTTGATAATAGAAATATTTGTCTACTTTTTGAATGTCTTGGAAAATAAAAATTATTGCAATGAATGTGAGGCACTACAAGTATGAAGTGGATGAAACGATGAGTACAGTCAACGTTGATGTTGTGCTGAGTGATTGTTAATTTAGAGTGAATCATAGTGAAGGATTACGTATTGCTTAATACGGAGTACATATTAGAGAATCATCAAAAGGAAGGGAGAAATTTTTAGCCCAAATACACGGAGGCTAGAAAGAACATTGAGCTTGGGTGAAGGTGTTGGCCCATTAAGCAGCGGCCGAACCCTCCAAAATTCGGATACCTGTCCAACCCGCCCCGAGCAGTCCCGGGTCTGCACAATTTGATTGTTTCCTGATTCCGAGCTGTTTGATTTCTCCCTGCGTGGTCTCGCCATGGCCACGTTCACCCACCTTTGATGCTTCTTCTTCTCCTTCTCATCAACGCTTGGCCGTCTCCCGATCTCCCCGGCGATCCAAGAACAACCCCCAATTCATGAACGCCGCCGCCTCCGCGCGAAATGGTAAACCCTCCCAGACTCAAATCTCTTCATTATCTGATTCGTCGCCGCCGGACCAGTGATAACGACACTCGCTCTTCATACACGAGTTCTCTTTATTTTTCATCGAGGCCGCATGTTTGTGAATTGGCCGAGTCTCATAGAAATCAAGAACAGAGTGTAAATTCATCACTGGACTTGGTCTCCAAGGTCTGTGGAATTTTGTCGAATCGTCGGATTCAGTGGAAACAGAGCGAGGAGCTGGACTCCTTGCGCCCTAAGCTGAGACCCCACCACGTTGCGAGGGTGGTTGAGATCCATGAGAACAGCGACACAGCTCTCCAGTTCTTTTATTGGGTTTCTAAGAGGCATTTTTACAAACATGATATGCATTGTTATGTGTCGATGCTGAATAGGCTCTTGAGGGAGAAGAAATGTGAACATGCTGATCATGTCAAGATTCTGATGATAAAAGATTGCAGGAACATGGAAGAAATGATGAGGGTTGTTGAGTATTTGAACGAGATTAGGAAAAGGGGCCTCGGGCATGGTTTGTATAGTTATAATACTCTCTTGATTCAGCTAGCCAAGTTTGACATGGTTGAGGCTGCTCAAACTGCTTTCAGAGAAATGATAGACAACGGGGTCCATCCTAGCTTGCTAACTTTCAACACAATGATAAATATATTGTGTAAGCAAGGGAAGGTGAAGGAGGCTCAAGGGATATTGAGTCAAATATATGGGAATGGGATGCTTCCAGATGTTTTCACACACACATCCTTCATGCTTGGGCACTGCAGGAACATGAACATAGATTTGGCCTTTCATGTTTTCAATCAGATGGTAAATGAGGGAATTCACCCAAATGCAGTAAGTTATGCGACTCTCATAAATGGGCTGTGTAGCCAAGGGAGAGTTGATGAGGCTTTGATTTTGCTGAAGGAGATGAATGAGAAAGGGGTTGAACCAACGGTGTACACATACACTGTTCCGATTACTTCATTATGCGCGACAGGACGTGTAGAGAAGGCTATCGATCTTGTGTTGATCATGAGAAAGAGAGGTTGTAAGCCAAATGTTCAAACATACACCGCCTTGATGAGTGGGCTTTGTTGTTCTGGTCGTCTTAAGGTAGTGATTGGGTTGTTCAACAAGATGGTCAGAGAGGGTGTGATTCCAACTACAGTAACATGCAATGCTCTAATCAAGGAATTATGTGATGAGAGATTAATCAGTGCCGCCCATAGTGTTCTTCGGTGGATGAAGGCTCATGGTTACCAGCCAAACTCTAAAACCTGCAATACCCTCATTCATGGATTGTGTACAGTGGGAAATATGGAGTGTGGAATGGTACTTTTCAACGAAATGTTAAAATCGGGCCCCACCCCAACAGTGATCACATACAATACGCTTATAAGAGGATACCTTGAACGGGGTCTCCTGGAGAATGCTGTTAGGCTGTTGGATATGATGAAGAATTGTGGGGTTAAGCCAGACGAGTGGACTTATGCAGAGCTTGTTTCTGGTTTCTTCAAAAGGGAGAAGATTGATTCGGCTGTAGCTTTCTTTGAGGAAATGATCACACAAGGGTTGAGTCCAAACAAGGTTAATTACACGACATTAATAAACGGTCTTGCTAAAACAGAAAAAATAGATGCTGCGATTGCTTTGTTCCAAACAATGGAGAAGAACGGCTGCAGTCCAGGAATTGAGACTTACAATGTGATTATAAATGGTTTATTAAAAGAAAACCGGATTTCTGAAGCAGATAAAATGTGGAATACATTTTCTGAAAGCGGTCTGGTCCCTAGTGTCATCACATACACATCATTGATTGACTGGTTGTCGAAGAATGGTGATACACAAAATGCATTTAAAATATTCCGAGAAATGGAAAAGGGGAATTGCTTGCCAAACTTGTTCACTTATAGCTCACTCATCCACGGTTTATGCCTCAAGGGCCAGGCGGATGATGCTGAGATTCTACTTAAAGAAATGGAGCTGAAGGGAATAGTTCCTGATCATGTCACATATACTTCATTGATGGATGGATTTGTGGGTTTGGGTAGGCTAGATCATGCCTTCTTACTTCTCTCCAAAATGATTGATAGTGGCTGCAGACCAAATTATAGAACCTTTACAGTGCTTGTGAAGGGTTTGCAAAATGGGAAGGAGTATGGTATTGATGCTTTATTTAGGTTATTAGATCGAATGTCGACAATTGCTTGTGAACCCAATTTAGATACATATTCTGCCTTAGTGGTTGGACTTTGTAAAGAAGGCAAAACTGATGAAGCAGAGCAGTTAGTTGCACATATGCTGGGAAAAGTGGATCTTGCTCTGGAAATTTTCCACTCAATGACTTCGAAGGGCATTTTACCTTCCTTGAATATATATCGGCTACTTATTTTGTCTCTTTGTAGAGCACGGTGGGTAGATGATGCTGAAGCTTTGTTTATTGGTGTTCTTGAGCAACAGCATAACTGTGATGAGATTGTTTGGACCATCCCTGGTTGATGGTTTGCTCGAGGGAGAGTCAGAAATGTGCATGAAGCTTCTATATAATCTAGAGTCCAAGAGAATTATTTTTCTTGGACCTGAAGGATTTGAAACATGGTGGTGTCTGATATGTGGATTAGACAGCCCTCCTTGATGCATTGGTTTTTTTCTTTAATGCATCTCCCGGACAGAACTGCTCTGCGTGGCTTTCCCCTCCCAAATTCAATGATCACAGATTGTGAAATTTCATCTCAGATGGTACTGACAATTTTTTTTAGTTGTATTTACTTTTTTTTTCCATTCTTCATAGAATTTGAAAGTAAATCATATAAATTTTGCACCATCTTACAGAACATCCATCAGACATAATGTGCAGTGGCAGATTGCTGCCTGAGCTCCAGCAGCTAGTCATTTTCAGGTAAAAATCATTGGCCAGCATCATGATTCTTGCAACATTGCAATATAGGCCTTGTTTGGGATACGTTTTCAGTTAGCGTCAAAGTTTCAAACAATTTTTAATGGTATAGATTAAATTTGAAAATGCTAACAATAGATAGCCTTTTTAAAGTGTTGAAACTAAACGCTGAAGTTGTTACCCAAAGGGCCCATAGTGTTGTAACAGAGACTAGGCGCATGTTTGGAGCCCAAAAATACTAGGAACGGGTAAACAATGCTTTTGTTATGTACTTATGTTCGTGTGTTTGGCTTAACGTCTGAAAACCCAAAAGGAATGAAATCCTTCGTATAATTATGTTTAATTTTTTTCTGAAAGTTTTGGTTTTTTAGTTATACATAATAGAAGTAAATTAATAAAATGAGTTTGAAAATGATAGAAAATACACCCACACACACACATTTTGAGTTTGAATATATACACATATTTGTGAGATTGAATGGTGATGAAACTTCAGATGAATTGCCACATAACTTCTTTTAAATGAAAAACTGACCTTTTTTTTTATCCTCCTCTGCAAGATCATTCCATAGAGAAGAGCTTGTGACGTGTCCATACATTCGGCTTTACTATCAACGATGAACCATGAAACTTTGAGGTAGGAAAAACAACCTTAGATGTACCCTCATACCTATTCAGGTATTCATTTCATTTTTGTACCACATATTCTTTTTAGTTGCCATTTTTTAAAAATGAAATTTGAAGATGTAGCAGAAGTACATAGGTTGCAGTGCGAAATGTATATTGTTGGCATATGTTAGTTATGTGTTAGATTAGCGTGAAGGTGCTTCTCAGGACCTTCATAGGAATGCATTGGAAGATTGCCAAGAAATAGTTGAGATTTTTTTTTTTTGAAATATAAATATTGATCATCAAGTGCCATAGGTTTTGTTCTCCAAAAAAACTCATGTGTTATCATCATTCATGAAAGGGGTCTCACAAATGTATTATACAGTGCAGATTCTATAATCTGTGTTTATTTATTTATTATTATTGTTTAATTATTATTATTACTCCCTTCGTCCCTAATTAAAAAATCTACTTTGATGGGACATGTTTAAGAAAACTACGGAAAACTAAAACATGTGTGATTGAGGACATATTCTTTGGTAGTCCTAAGGTCTATGCTTTTGCTTATTTTATATGCTCGTTTTATGAACTTTAATACATTAAAGTTTTGTTCTTTTGGATTAGAATTTCAGAGTTGGATGTTAGAAAAAACTGGAAGAAGTTGGAAAAAGCTAAAAGAATTTGAAAAATGTTGGAAAAATTAAAGTGTTAAAAAATTATTCAATTAAATGATCACCTAAATAAATAAGTAAGAAATCTAGTTTTGGATATAAAAAGAATTCATCCTTCTCCATATTTGAGGTGGTAGTTATGAATTTGAATATATAATGTTATTTTATATTTATCATATATAAAAAAAATTTAAGCCACTGTTTGAAGAAATTGGAAGGAGTTGGATGAAATTGGTAGAGTTGAAAGAAGTTGAAAGTTAATTTTTCAATCTAAAAAAATCTAAAGTAATTTTTTGATATATAAATTTTATCTTTTCATTCTGTCCAAGTTCTCATATAAATTTATTTAAAAGTAAATTCAATCATACATCATAAACAACAAGAAGCAACTTAAAATAGGACCAAGGATGTATTACCTTTCACTTATAATTATTTTGAACTCAAGCATTTTATAAGACTAATTCTAAATTATTTGATAAGTTAATTGATGTAATTCAATTAATTTTTTAGAATACGAAATAGATTTTATATTATCGTTCCCTTATAAATTGACAAACTAAGAGGTCAAATTGAACAAAGAGAGTAAAAGAAAAATTGGATTTTAAAGGTGAAATAACTCTGTTGAAATCTATACAAAAATCAATTTTACTATTTGTATATCACTTGATGCACATCAAGTTATACACTAGTATTATGCTCTCGGACTGTAATGGCAAACACTAATACAAATACTATTGTACTCCGTAAAATTTTGCAACCTTGTGTTAGTGTATGCCCTCACTGTATAGTGTATAGTGAGACTGTGTAAGTATAAATGACTGGTATATGGCGATTTCCATGACATTGACTATCAATGTTATGGATGGCCCGAGGGTTCTACAATGTCCCATTTGTAAATTTGACGGTTCATAGATCTCCTAACTCTCCGGTCAAACCTCTCACCCCACCCCGACCCTCTTCCACCTCTTTCAATTGCACCCTCTAAGTTTATTTAACTTTGGAGTCAAAATTTTGACTCCAAAATTAACTAAACTTAGAGGGTTTAATTTAAGGGGTGAGGGTGATTTCAAGTCAGGGCAAGAGATATGGAGTTAAGAAGTAAAAATCATCAATTTTTTAAACGGAGTATCGCAGGTACCCGGGTCATGCTATGGCAATGCCAAACAATATACGGAGTAACATGAACCGGAGTGAACTTGATATACAAATAACACCTGGTAAAGGTACCCCAAATTTGTATTCCAATAGCAATTACAGACGCAAATCTTCGTACCGAAATAAAAATCAATTCCAAAGCCAAGAGAGTATTTATTAGGGTTATTAGTGATCGTGTCTTGTAAAAATATGATTAAAAAGAATACTCATCTCTCTCATTTATTATTATTTTCCCAATGAATTTTTATTTATTTGTTTGTTACTCCGTATTCATTAATTATTTGATAAAATAATTTTATCACATCTTATTTTAACTTTTTTTTAATGTAATTTTGGAATATGGAATTTTTTTATTTATATAAATAATACTTAGTCCATCCCTGAGTGTTTGTCCACTTTTTACTTTTGGAACTGTTCATCTAAGCACTTTGACTCATCAAATTCTCTCAATGTGTAAGCCTAAAAATAGTCATGTGTAATCTTGTTTAATTCGTCTTAACATATAGATTATTAATATATAATTTTTATAATTTTTTAATATACAAATTACAAGATAAAATGGATTAAAGAAGTGGATTGGATAGTGTGCAAAAATGAAAGTGGACAAACACTCAGGGACGTAGGGAGTATAACTTTTACGAAGTAACAATTACTGGGGTATAAAATTGTACATATTGTTCAAAGTGAGACAAGATTTTCAAAACGGATGAAGCATAGGGAGGGTAATTTTAAATGCTAAAATGTGAGGAGTGTCCTAGTAATTTGAGTATTGACAATATCACCCTCCAGAAATGGAGAGAAACAGCCTGTGGAACTGGGCAGTTTGATTGTGGTGGCTAGAGGTCAAGAAAATTTTGCTCTAATTCTCTATTTTCAGGTTGTCCCATACAAGATCAATTCAAACTCTCCCCAAAATATAATCATCAACACAAATAAGTTCTACAAAACCAACTATGAGGGAAAAAAACAATACAAATAAAAGTCGTGTGCTCATCAATCATCACTCCACCTGAGAAGAAGGGTCCCGTGTCGGTTCATCATCGCCCACGACTCTGCCCAGCATGACAGCGGTCAGCATTAACCTGCCCGCATCGGGGAAATCGTGGTGCTGCATCAGTATCGATTCTACAGAGGATGAAGGAGCCACTCCGTTGGGGTTTTGGAGCTCGGAGCTTTCTTCTTGCCTGAGTGGAAGCACTTGACTGAAACTGCCCTCAAATGTCTCCGCGTGGGGCCCGTAACACCTAGCTGAAGCCTGGAAGAGAACTGTGTCTTGCAGGATGGATAGGCTCTCCTCGTCGCCCCAACCCTCGGCTATGGAAGCTTGGTGTAGCTTCTCCCAGTCATCCTGAGTCAAAGCATTTCTCCAGCACTCTTCCAACAGGCTTGTGTTGGATTTGAGAAAGGAGAGGCTTGTCCATGCAAACACATCAAAAGCTATCAATGAAAGCTCCCTTGTTTGACTCTTGAGGCACAGTTCTATTAGATGTCTTGGCGAAAGAAGCTGCTGGTTTGGCCCTATGTTTTGCATTTCGTTTTCGGGAAGCACTCTAAGTATTTCTTCCTGCAGGACAATTGACCTTTATAAGTAAATGATATTCAACTCCTTAGAGTGGCCAATTTGTTAGTTTGAGGGCTTTCCCTTACACTATGTTTGGTTCAAGGAATTTGAAAAAGAAAAGAAAAGAAAATGAGATGGAAAACATTATTTCTTACTTGGTTAGAGAGGAAAAGAAAAGAAAAGAAAAGTGGAAGGAAAAGAAAATGAGAAGGCAAAATGTACTAAGAAGGAAATGCAAAGTCCTCTCATTTTGGGGAGAAAAATGAGAAAAAACTATTTTCTTTTATTAAAGTACCAAACATAGTGTTAAGGAATGAAATTTTGCTTTTTTAATGTTTGGTTTTACACTTCTACCAGGTAAAATAAAGAGGAAAATCATATTGAGTAAAACTTTGTAAAGAGGATCGCATATGTGTTAATGTGTGTGTGTGTGTGCATAAACAAATTGAGTTTGAACCAATATCTAAAATTAAGTAATTGTATATTATTCACTGTTTTGTCGACCCAAATCTTCCTTCTAAAATTTCCATTTATAAGAAATCATTTACAAAAGCGCTCCTAGTTAGGCGAAGGGGGGGACGATGCCAAGGCCACTTGGGTTTTTAGGCGAGATCTTAAGGTGTTATCACTATGTTTATACAGTTTAAAAGAATCAAAATGAAAAGCATCAACTGCTAAGATAAAACCATATTACCAAGGAGAAATGGGAATTACAACCTCGGAGTCATTGGTGTCAGGTATATTTACCTGTGAGTTTAGAATTTTCAGGTCAGCGTCAATTCTCTTTACCTTTGTTTCAAAATTTGCATCCCTTCCTGTCAAGCGTCAAAATATTCTTTAAATCTTTTATCAGAAAATGAGGAAGCTATATGGAAATCACAAACTAAATTTCTTCTAGACTATTTTGTAAGCTTTTGAACAAAAACTACTAGCATATTAGCCATTAAGCCCTCTTTGGAGCTACCAATGTCCATACTGCTAGGCTCTTGTGCCACAGAAGGACCCAATTCCTGTTATTAGTCCTACCTCTGAGAAATGAGTAGGAGAAATTATTGGCTCCCAATATTGTGGTAAAAGAAAATGATCTCTTGAACCAGGGAATTCTCTTACAGCACATAATGCAACCTAATATAATTATATGAAGTCCATGCCTTATTTTTAGAACAATGTAATGAATACTTTCATATTATCTCAATGCAACAAACCGTGGAGAGAAATACCATTTATGAATTATTTTCCATGAATTCAATAACCAGATCTTTCCCTGTTAAAATATCTACTTAATTATTTTATGTGTGTTCTGTATAGAGGAAGAAGCCAGGAGTGAAGCACAATATACCTGCCATAGCTGCTATCTTTGAGAGATTTAAAAAACGCTTTCTATCTGACAATGAGGTTCTCTTGTCTGAGGCGTAAGAGGCCTCCATATCTGAAATTCGATCATCATCTTGGGAAAGTGCCAAGACATGTAGGGTTTCTGTAGCAGAAGAAAACTCATAGAGAAACACTTCATGAAGCCAAAGGAGATCTTGGTGTCGCTTAAGAAAAATTGTTAGCTCTTCCTGAAACTCCTCCCCAAATCTCATAAGCTTAGAAAACTGTTTGTTTTCATACATCCGTTGGAAGACAAAGTAACAAAACCCCCCTGTACGTCCCATACTCTCGTGCTGCAAAAGAAAACATGAATCTTATGAGGGTGGAGCTAGAGGAGAAATAATCACCTTATCCAATAAGTTAATTAAAAATGTGCACATAATTGAGTTAAATAAACAAAAAGAAACATTAGAAACAATGGGACAAGACACTTGCAGAGCAAAATATTATCACTATAATTTATAAACACAACATTATTTAATTAGATTTATCCGTCCCTGGTGATGCCAACATCAAAATCTATTTATATACTCCATTTGTCCCAAAATAAACTTCACTTTCTTTTTTTGATCATCCCAAAATAGACTCCATACTTCTCCTTTATACTACTCAGGTATTTAGGTAAATATGTGGCTCGCAATCTTTCTCTCTCTAGTTACTTAGTTAAATTTCAACCAACCACTTTTTACTTTTCAACAATTTTCTTATCCTTCATGAACTCAAATACCAAAGTTTATTTTGGGACGGAGGGAGTATGTTTAATATAAATTTTAGTTTTCTTTTGATATAAACATTTGTTGTGCTCTCAAACAAATGTTCTGGTAACACCACACTAAAGACAAGATCAAGGTATAGGAAGCAGACACACCGATAGTGCAAAACAGAAAATAATAAAACAAATGATTCCATACCATAAGAGTCCCAAGAAGGTTTAAATCATTGAGATCTGTGCAAATATTCCATAGAGTTTGATAGCCTTCGTGTCTTTTAGCAATAGAAAATAAGCCTGACGAAAGCTTTCTAAACAGTTCCTCGTGTTCGTGCGTAAAGTCCTGTTCTGAATCCTGCATGATTAAAAACATTTAGCAAGAAACAACATTAAAATACAAATATACAATCGCCTCTCCAAAAAAGAATGTAAACCTTTATCCCATTAACAAAGTAACTCACACTAAGACTAGAGTAAGAAATGCTCAATTGAAGTATGTCATACAAACCAGTCTAAACAACACCATACATGAGATGCTCCCAAGTTCCAAGTGAATCACATGCCACTAGAAGTATCTTGTAAAAGTATATCTCCCCCCCCCCCCCCACATTTAAAAAGTTGCTCCATTTGCTTTTAAGAGTTTTTAATTACTTCTTCCATAAGTGTCCTTACTTTTTCATCTTCTCTCTCCCACTTTTCTCACAAATTCCTTTGGTTTTGCCTTCTTTGTTTCAAATTTTAAACACTATATAATACCCCCACAGATTTACGCCAAGGACCCATAGAAACCCAATCGGAGCAATCTTTAGAATAAGGAGAGTGTACTAAAAAACAAAAAACCTGGGTGTTCACTTCAACGAAGTCTTTCACTTGCTGATAAAGGCTATCCAGGAGTGCATCTTTCCTGCCTGAAAACTCATCCAATAAACCTTTATGTCCTCCATATCCATTCCTTGCTGTGATTGCACCAGAATATGACTCTAATAAAACATCGGAGAGTCCTTCGAGGTATGAATAATAGTTCCATTTTATAGCATCATCAACTGGATATTTTTGCTTAGACAATTGAAGCATGAAAGATGCAATCTTCCAAAGCCCGTTACGTACTTTTTCTTGAGAAGTCCATGGCATCAAGCCCTCAGGTGAAGGATACCATATGTGCTGCTCATTTCGGTAATTCATGGCAGTGCGAAATAGTATCACACATGCATTAGAAAGTTCACAAGCTCTTTGGATCTGAACAGAAACTGGCATGTCCTCGTGAACAACATAATCAAACTGTCTCTCAAGGCAATGGAATAGTTCTTCAAGATCTGATACTTTACTGTAAAATACTTCAGCATTGTCTCTGTCCATCAAAAGAACAGTTCTTCTGCGAGCTCTTTCACCAACTAACTGAATAAGATCCCAAAGAGCACTAGAGAATTGCATTTCCGAATGCAAATGAGAGCCGGACCCAGTTCCATGGTTCTGACTAACTTTACTTTGGAGCTCCCTCAGTTGGATCATGGCAGCAAGCTTTTCCCCATGTTCCATGATAATTTGCAACGAGTGTCCTGCAAGCAGAAGCTTAAACCTCTTAACCTTAAGAGCGTGCAAACCCATACAGGAAACCAGCTGCCATAACTTTTATTTGGTCTATAGAAAGAACTAAAGTAATACTGTTTATCTCACTAAGAGCATGATTGAAGGAAAGATAAAAAAAATTCAGTCAGACAAAATTGGCTACATAATCAATCAGATACAAGATACAGAGTATTAGACAATGACACAAGGAATCATGTTTTCTACAAGCCGGTGTTGTTGCTCCCATTTTTGAATCATGAAGGATTGATGAATAAATGAACAACAACAACAACAACAAACCTAGTAAATCCCACACGTGGTAGGGTCTAGGGAGGATTAGTGTACAGACTTTACCCCTACTTGGAAGTAGAGAGGCTATTCCCAAGAGACCCCCGGCTCAAAACAGAAGTATGGTCAAACAAACCACAATAACACTAACAAAGTGCAAGTAAAGAGAGAGGCACACATACCCACTCAAACACCTAGATCCAAAGCACACAAGCGCGCACACAGAGATTAGGGCATAAAAACCAAGCCAGCAAAAACTAAAAGCTATGGCGCACGAGTCTACCCACTGCTCTAACCCTAGATCTCTAGGTGTTTCTATCTAAGGTCATATCCTCGTTAAGATCATGAAGTCATAAGTCATGTCTAATCGCTTCCATCCAACTCTTCCGAGGTCTACGTCTACCCCCATCTCACTCCCAGTACCGCAAGCCTCTCGTATCTCCTTGCAGGGGCCTCAACACCCCTCCTTCTAACGTGGACAAACCA